CGCCAGACCTCCTGCCCATAGTCCCTCTGAGCCTCACCTGCCTCCTTGGCCCAGCGGAGGATGGAGGTCACCTCCTGGCCCTTGGTGGTGTTGCAGCGGTCCCGGGTGACACCGGCGCTGACCCCCAGCGTCCCCTCGTTGGCTTTGACACCGCACAGGTAGGCGGTGGCCGTGCCTGCGCTGTCGGGCACCTGGGCATTGGTGTTGTAGGTCTGGAAGGTGGGAGATGGATAAATCCCCATCGTTATCACCACCATCATCGTCTCACCACCACCAGCACCACCATTCCCACCCTGGGGCTTCTCTTCCTGTGCTGTTTGGCTGCACCAGACCCCCATCCCACCTGTGGCCCCTCTCTTTTGCCCTTTGCCCCCTATTTTACCCCCTACTCCCTCCACCATGGTGGGACATCCCCCCTCACTGCATTTTGCTGCTTTTAGCCTTTTTTCAGTCCATCTTTTGGCAGGGAGATGGAACCACAGCCACGGGCATCCCCACGGGGTGAATGGAGGTGGCTGCTGACTTCAAATTTAATTATTATTTTAAAATGTTTTGTTCAGCAAAACAACCCCAGGAGAAACGGGGGGGGTCCCGTGGCGTTCCGCAGGCGGCGGGCTCCTCCTGCCCCCCTCCTGTTCCCACGGCCAGGCCTGGCACGGCCAGCGGGCACCGCAGCCAGCTGCCTTCGCTCGCCCATGACCTAATTTCGGCTCAATCGATGCCGCCCGCCCGTGACCTTGCGGTGGGTGTCGTGTCCCCGTGGGTGCCCCGGGGGGCTCACCTTGGCCAGGGCCACGAAGGGGAACTTGTCCATCTCCAGCAGGCTCTCCTCGCCCTGCCCGTGCAGCTGCCCTTTGAGGATGCGGGCGGCCGTGACCGTGGAGACGCCCATTCCTGCGGGACACCGTCAGCCCCGCTCCGTGCAAACCCCGCTCATTTCTGCTCCCTGCACACCCCCTTTAGCCCATCGGCCCGTTTATCGCAGCAACCAACTTTTTTACAAGCCCAGTTTATTGTGCAGCCAGTTTATCCCAGCTCCCAGTTTATCCCAGCAGCCACTTTTCATCACAAAGCCAGTTTATCACAGAGCCCAGTTTATTGCAACACTCAGCCAATTCATTCCTGCACGCGGGTTATCCCAGCACTCAATTTTTTTGCAAACCAAATTTATCCCAGCACCCACTTTATTGCAATCCCAGTTTATGCCAGCACTCAAATGATGGCAAAACCAATTTACCTGAGACCCAATTCTTTGCCAATCCACTTTATCCCTGCACCAGGTTACTGCAATCCCAGTTCATTGCAGCACCCAGCTCATGCCGCCACCCAATTTAATGCAACCCAGTTCACCCTAGCACCCAATATTCATTTCAAACCCAATTTATTGCAGCACTCAACTTACTCTAAATCTAGTTCATACCAGCACCCAGTTTACCCCAGCACCAACTTAACACAAACCAAACTGATTGCAGCAACCAATATTTTTTGCAAATCCAGTTTATCCAGCACCCAATTTGTTGTAAACTCATACTATTTACCATAGCACCCATTTTTTTGCAAATCCAGTTGACTGAAGCAACCAATATTTGTTTTTGCAAATCCAGTTTATCCAGCACCCACAAAATAAACTGAGTTTACTGTTAACTCAATTTACCACAGCGCCCATTTTCTTTGTAAATCCAGTTCATCGCAGCACCCAGTTTACCCCAGCACACATCTTTTTTGCAAACCCTGTTCACACCAGCACTCAACTTACAGGAACCCCAGTTTATCCCAGAACACAACTCACCACAGCACCTATTTTCCCACAACACCCAATGTGTCAAAGCCCCCGTTTATCCCAGCACCCACTTTATTGCAGCCACCTCATTGCCCCCCCGTGCCCCCCAGCCCCGGGGTGGGTGCTCCCCTCCCATCTCACCGTCCCCCAGGAAGAGGATGAGGTTCTTGGCCACGTTCTGGTTGAGGCGCTGGAGCCGCAGCGCGTTCCTCAGGGTTTCCTGCGCCTGCCGCCGCCAGTACTCGGGGTCCTTCTCCCTCTCTGCAGGGGAACCGGCCTCATAGCACCCCACGGCACCACCTTTGGGGTGCTGCCCCTCCAAACCTCACCTACCTGGGACCAGTGATGCCGAGCAGAGCTGGGCGAGGAGGAGGACTAACAGAGCCTTCATCCCGCGGCGCTGAGCGGGTGCTGCCAGAAGAGAGCTGCGAGGTGGGTGGCACCAGCTCGTGCCTCAGTTTCCCCACTGAGACCTTTGGCCCCGGGTCAACCAAGCGAGGACAGAAAAAATGTCCCCTCCCTACACAGTGACCGATGTGATCCCCCTGGGGACACGCCAGCTCACCCCGCCTCCCCCCTGCCTCCCATGAGGCGTCACCTCACTGCCACCACCCCGAGCTGGGGGAAGCCAGGATGGCCCCTGTGGCACAGTGAGGTCCCCTTCACATGTGTGTTCCCCGTCCATGTCCCCATCTTGTGCTTGTGTACCTCTCATGTGTCCCCATCATGTGTTCCTGTCACCCCTGTGTTCCCATCCCACGTCCATGTCTCCACTGCACATCTGCAGTCCCATCACACACCCGTGTCCCCACTGCCACCCCTGTGTGTGCCATGTCCCTAATGTCCCCACCACACACCCCTGTCCCCATCCCCATCCCAAACCTGTATCCCTGCTGCATTTCTGTCCCTGCTGTGCCCCCGTGTCCCCACATGACCACATCCCATGACACATCCATGTCCTCGCTGCACCTCCGTGTCCCCATCCCACGCCTGTTTGCCCACCACATGCTCGTGGCCCCACTGCATCTCCGTGTCCCTGTTGCACACCCAAGTCCCTGTAGCATCTCCGTGTCTCCGTTGCACACCCACTCGCGTGTCCCCATCACCCCCACATCCCCACAGCACCTCCCCGCGCTCCCCGGAGAGCCTCCCTCCCCCGGGATGGCAGCGGTGGTCCCCGGGGGGGTCCTTACCGGGGGTGGGGGCTGTCACACACGTACCCGCACTAACTTGGGACACCCACGTCCCTCTGGGCGGCGGGAGGAGGCCGGGCCGGGGGGACCGCGAGCCCTTAAATCCCCCCGCACCCGGCCTTAGCCTCCTCCTCCTCCTCCCCTTCCTCCACCCTCCCCCTGCTGCCAGCAAGGGGGGGTGCGGGGGAGAAAAGGCCACAAACTGGGCTTACTGGTGCCCTCTGCCGGGTTGTACTGGGAGAACTGGGAGGACTGGGGAGCACCAAGTCTGGCTAGAAGTGCTGAGCAGCCCTCCCTCGCTTCACACGTGGGAGTTTGGGGTGTCTCTTGGTGGGGTAGATGTGTGTGTTTTGCCGGATTTTGCATTATTTTCACCCAAACCGTGCTAGCGGCACCGGCGAGGGGTTGGAATTGGGGTGGGGGTGATGGAGATGAGTGGGGTCTTCCTGCCTCAGTTTCACCACACGGGCTCCTGCAGCAGCCCGCGAGAGATCCCTGGTGGGATCCCGTGGCATTACTGTAGCTCCTACATCAATCACGGAGCGGTGACGAGGACGGGAGGAGGGGGTGACTCTCAGCCCTGCCTCAGTTTCCCCATGGAGGGGGCCCGGCGGGCTCCGTGACCCGTGGAGCCGCCAGTGGCCTCCCAGAAGGTGGCGGTCTCAGCCCAAAAATCGCCGGGACCCTCGGGGTGCAACCGAGGGAACCCCAACACGGCCGCGATGCCAGGGGACGGGCACGGCCCCTTGCGGACCCTCCAAATCCCTCCGGAACCCTTTCCCCTTTCCCCTTTCCCTTTTCCCCCTCTCTTCACCCCCCGGCACTCAGAAGCGATTTGCCTCCCGTGGGTGCGATGAGCGCTGCAGTGCTCAGCCCGCCGGGGCAGCGCGGGGGGCGGAGGTGGCACCGCGTGTCCCCACGCCCGTCCCCACGGCAGGGCAGCCGCCGGCGCTTTTTGCCGTGGGAAATCTCCCACGGGCACACTCGCTGCGGGCACGATTGTCAGCAGGCGTGCAAACAGCACACGCGCGTTCTCACAGTGCCCGTGCGCGCTTTTGCACGGCTGAGCCGCGTGCCCGTCCACGAACACGCGTGGGGCTGTTGGCGGCCCCACTCGCTCGCCACGCGTGTTTTCGCCTTTGCACACGCAGCTGCCGCCGGCATCGCGCCTTGCACGCCCGCCCCGGGACGCCACATCCCCTCCGGCCACGGAACCGGGGCTGCCTCGGGGAGATGCTGCCCCCCCAAACGGGGCTTGGGGCCCCCCGAAAGAGTTAAAGGAGGCGTGCGGGAAGCCCGTCCCTCCGCGGCCCCATTGGTTTCCCATCCCAGGTACATCCTTTGCTCGTCACCCTCGCTAGGCCGCGGCGGCGTCACCAGCGGGGCCGGGGCTCGGCGGGGCTCGCCCCACCGGGGCCGGGGCCGGCGGGAGTGGGGTGACGGCCATGGTGAGTGAGGACTTGGGGGTGGTTGAGTAGGGGCCGCTCGGCCGAAGCGGGGCGCCGGGTGATGTGTTTGCCGTGGGATGCTCTTTGTAACACCATAGGGGACCCCCCCACTGCATCCCGGGGTACCCCCGGCATCCCCGCTGGTCACCCTTTGGACCCCCGAGGGTCTCCGTGAGACCCTCGCTGAACCTTTAAGCGATCCCCCATTGCACCCCAAGGACCCCCCCTAAGACACCCCCACTGCACCCCCGAGCACCCCTGGGTGCCCCACTCGGCCCGCCCCCCCCAGCAGCGTTTTCTTTGTGGCCAGTGGGGTCAGCAGGTGGGGACCCCAAAGTGGGTGCCCCCCTCTGGGTGCCTCCTCAAGCCTCTCGCCGCCCCCAAATCCACTCTCGACCCAGACCCGCGGGGGTTTGGGGTTTGCACCTTGTTTCCATCGGCAAAGGGTGGGGGGCGCCCCCCACCCAACTGAACCCGCTCTTGTGGGGCTGTTTTCGAACACCCCCAAATTGGGTTGTACTTCTCCCTTTTTTTTTTTTTTTTTTTTTTTTTTCGGTAAGGTTTAACCCTTATTTGGCTGCTTTTAAGCTTTTCTTTAAAAATTACTTAACCTGTAGTCAGGGCTCTATACACAACTAGGGACTCCCCCAAAACCTTTTCCCTGCACCCCTGATTAACACCGGCACCCCTGATTAACACCAGAAGTCGCTAATTACCCCCGGACATCCTAATTAGCAAGCTGAGCCTCGCTGGGCGCTGGCTGTAGAGGTGCGGGGGCACCCATGGGTGCTGGGGGTGGGCACCGCTTTGCCAGGCGGGGCTTTGGGGGTGACTTGGGGGGGCTCAGGGTGGACTCGGGGTGTTGGAGGGGCTGGGGGGAGGCGAGGAATGGCCATGGCGATGGTGGCCGCGGTTGCTCCGAAATGGCGCCCGGACGGGAATTGAAAGCGGCCGGCGGAGGCGCGGGGTGCCCGGTACCGGAGCGGGGTGCCCGGTACCGGAGCGGGGCTCCCCCGGCGGGGCAGAGCCGGGCCCTGGGGACCCCCCGCGCCTTGTGGGGGTGTGCGGGCTCCGAGCACGTGGGGCTTATTGTTTATAGAGCGAAGGAGCCATTTGGGGCTATTAAAAGCTATTTAACGCCGCGATTTTTGTAAGTTGTATAGAGGGTGAAACTCCCCTCTGTATGGGGTTAAAGTGTGGGTGCTCCCACCCTGTTGGAGCGGGGAGAATGCATTTTTATTAGGATTGAAGTAAATAACGGCTTGGAGGGGGGAGGTGTATGACAAAATCTACCCCATTTTGCCCCCCCCCCAAAAAGGGGGGCTCCTGCTTCACCTGCTGGAGAGGGTGGGGAGCACCCCGAGGTGCTACTATGCCCCCAGTGTGAAGGATATGGGTGTTAAAAAATACCTCCCGGGCCCAGTTTCCCCTCAAATTAAGGATACTGGGGGTCGATCCCAGTGCCTCTCGGAGGTGTTTGGGGGAGCTCGGGCTCAGTTTGGATTCTCTGATGGCTGGTACCGGGTTGAGCCAGCACATCTCTTGTGAAAGGAGAACAGAAAGGGATTCTTTTTTTTTGTCTTTTTCCTGGTTTTCAGGCTGGGGTAGGCGGGGTGGGGGATCGCTGAGGAAAAAAAGATTGCGTTTCCTCAGGAAATGGAGTGAAAGCTGGGATTCCAGGAATTTGGTGTTGCGGAGCCCTGGAGGCTTCATGAATCCCCCCCACCGCGTGAGCGGCGATTTGTGCCCGGAGCTGCCAATTTCAACCATGTGCGAAGTCCTAAAATAGGTGGAAAAAAAGTGAAAGGGGTTGGGAAAAAATAGGATCTAAATAGAGATTTTCCCCACGATAAAATCTTGCAGTTGAGGCTCTTTCGTCTCACGGTTCTCAGGCTCCAGGCGGGCGCCCAGGGGAGATTTTGGGGCTGCAAACAGAGATTTCGGTACAACCAAGGAGGGAAACCACCTCTTTGTTTTAACCCTTTTTCTTCCCTAGGTGGGTTTTGTGGTTAATTAAACTGAGGCTGGGATTTGGGATCCGGGGAGAGAATGAGACTTGTTATTAAGTGTGCAAAGGGAGGTTTGGGAATGCTGCTGTTGGGAACAAGGCTGAGAACCGGTGCTTTCATTCTGCCAGGACAAATTGAGGCTCAGCTTTGCGGGGTTTGGATCAACTCATCCCTTTGGGATTGATGGCAGCGGGATGGGGACATCCAGATGGGTTTAAACCCCCTCCCTGTGCTGATTGCGGGTGAAGGGTTCTGAGCGGTGCCGCTCGGGCCATCGGTGGCAGGGTCAAGGTGGATTTTGGGGTGCTCAGCCCCTCGCTGGGGAGTGGAGGGTTGTTTGCTCCATCGGGAGACAATCTGGCTGGATGGCAGGGCAGTGCCAGGGGGAAGGAAGCAGCGGCGGCAGCACGATAAGGGCCGGCTGCCAACCCGTGAGGTTTTCCTTGTTTTTCTGCCGGGGATGAGATAAGAGCCGGGCACCAGCACAAGATAATGCCCGGAGGACACGGCGCCGGGAGGGATCCCATCCACAGCTGAAATTCCTGGTGCTGTCTCCTTTGGGTGTTCACAGGGATCTCTCCGGCTGTTTCACGGTGCGCAGCGTTTACAGATCGGGGGTTGAGCGTCAGCGAGCCGGGAGTGTCAGGGAGAAAAGCCATTTTCTGTGCTGCCAGCCTTTCCCAGGTGCCTGGCACTCCGGGATTCCCTGGCACAGAGGGGTCGCTCTCCGCTGCAGGGCGGAGGTGGATCCGGCTTTATTCCAGGCTGAAGGGGAGGTTGCACAACCCGGCCCCGGGGGAAAGTGAGGCGGGTTCGGGCTTTGCTCAGCTCTTGGCTCCGGCCCTCTTTGCTTTCCATAACCATCCTCCGGCTTTGTGTAGTGCTCTGCTACCTCGGAGCTATTCGGGATTTTGCTTCCCGGAGGAAGAGGTGGCTTTAAAAGGTGTGTAAATCTTCCTTGTCCTTCATCTTCTTCCTCATTCCCGGGCCACTGAGCACCTCTGATCTCCCTGTGCAGATGTCGACCTACAAGCGGGCAACGCTGGATGATGAAGACCCCCTGGAGTCCCTTGGTGATGGTGATGGATACCCCAATGGCTTTCAGGTATAGCTTCATGTGTCTTTTAGGAGGAAAAAGGGGATTTTGTGTCCTGGCAAGCAGCAGAGGGGGGTGCAGAAGGGTTTTCTACCTTTGACCAGTGTCTGGGGGATAAAGTCCAGTATGGGCAGAGCCATGTTGGCTCCTGCCACTGCTGCCCTTCGCTCCCTTTCTGGCACAGGGAGCCAGCAGGGCCATATCCTGCCTGCACTGTTTCAACACTCCACCTCCCAGTTTTTCTGCTGCCAAACCCCTTCCCAGCATGGTTGGGGTGAGCAATTATCGAAGCACTGGGAGTTTTGTCCCCACACAAAAGGGGATTAGGTTAATTCCTCCCCAGGCAGTGGAAAAGCAGCTTAAAGAGGGCCAAGGGTGGCAAGAAAAAACCCCACTGCTGCCAGTGTCCAGCCTCACCGGGAAAGGTTCAGGTCTGGAGAAACCCCCTGTGTCATGGTGCCAGTCCAACTCCATCAGTCTCTAGAATGGTGGTTTCTGCCCCAAATGTGTTTTTACTTTTCCCGGCGGGGCTGTCTCCGCTTGCGGTCACATCGAGATGTTTCCTGGGGATGTTTTTTGGCTGACTGGGAGTATCCTGTTAAGGCACTTTTTGACGCAGCCCCCACCCTGTCCCAGTGCTGGCAGTGGGATGGGGATAGCCGTGGGCTTACGCTGTGCTCGAGGAAGGGTTCAGGGTGGCACGGGACAGCAGGTGAGCCCTCCAAAGCACTCGTCCCGCTCCCTTTCCTGCCATTGTGCCGCCCTTCCTGCTCGGTTTCTGGAAGGCAGCTGCTGCCTTTCCCAGCCCAATCCATGACGGATCCCTTGCCGGGGCTAAATTTCTGCTGTGGGCTGTGGGAAGCAAAATGGGGGCTGCGTCAGTGGGTTTTTCTGCCAGCGGGGAGACGACACTGCTCTTCCCGCAGGTGAACTTCCGCGGCTCACGGGGCAGCCGGGGGTGCTGGGCCGAGCGGACACGTGCTGAGAAGCAGCTGCTGGTGCTGGTGGGGGTGCTGGCAGTGCTGCTCTTGGCCTGTCTGCTGGGACTCATCTTCCAGTACAGAGCCAGTAAGTCCTTTGCTCATTTTTTGGGGGCCAAAACCCTCCCAGGAAAGGGAGGATTCTCGGCTCAGCCTCTGCATGTGAACACCAAGGCAGAGCGGCTTATCTGAGCAACCAGTGGGGGGGGATGGTTTGTTCAAGCTTTGAGCAAACAACTGCACGGGGATCCTGCCCCCTTGACCAGAGTGGGTTGCTGGGGATCTGCCCTGCAGAATCTTGCCCTGCAAGGGGGGGTATGCTTACCTGTACCCATCACCCCAGGACAGGATTCTTGGGTATCAAACAGGATGTTCAGGTGTGGGGTGGTATCTTTGGGCTCAAGATAGGATGGTCACCTGCACCCCTTCACCCCAGGGCGAGATGCTCAGATGCAGGATAAAGTGTTTCTCTGATCCTTTATCCTGGAGCTTGATGCCTGAGCACAGGATGGACCATTTCTCTGCATCCTTCACCCCAGGGTGGATGACTGGGCACTGGGCAGGATCTTTGGACATAAGATGATATGCTTGCCCTGGGATGATTGGGTGGGATGTTCAGACATAGGTCAGCATGCTAGTCCATATGTTTGCCCTAGAGCAGGGTGGTAATGTACAAGGTGGGATGCTCGGGCACCAGGTGGGGTATTTTCCTGCATCCATCCTTCAGCTCGGATGCTCTGTGGTGCTGCTCATCCTGCTGCAGCAGAGGAGCTGAACCTGTCCCTGTCCCCTCAGGGCCACCAGCCGTGTGCCTGTCGGAAGCCTGCATCTCCATCACCAGCTCCATCCTCAGCTCGCTGGACCGTGCGGTGAATCCCTGCGAGGACTTCTTCAGCTACGCCTGCGGGGGCTGGATCAAGGCCAACCCCCTCCCTGACGGTCACTCGCGCTGGGGCACCTTCAACAACCTCTGGGAGCACAACCAGGCCATCATGAAGCACCTGCTGGGTGAGTGCATGGGAGCAGTGGGGCCCCGTTGGGTCCGGGGGATGCCAAAAACATTTGCATGGAAATACGAGGTTGGAACCGAACTCCAGTGTCAAACTGGTCTATGATATGCATGCTGTGAGGACATTGAGAAATGGATCCTGGCTGTGTTTGCTCTCCTAGATGCTCCTGAGATTTTTGACTGTTGTGTTGCTAATCTGTGGTGCTGAGTAGGGAAAAGGCCTCTTCTGCTCTGTAAACCCCATGGTGGCATTCCCAAGAGCTCTGAAATTCAGGATGTGCACTCCAGACTGCATCCAGAGGCTGTAGTGTCCCAGTATCACCCCAAGGATATGTATTTTTCTTCTTCTGTTACTTCCAGCCTTTGTGAGTAGCCTTTTGGGGGGCTGGCTGCCAGTATGGCCATTTTTGGGGGGCCAAAACTCCCCCAGCAAAGGGAGGGTCCTGGGCTCAGCCTCTGCGTGCGAATGCCTAAGCAGAGCAGCTTATCCGAGCAACCGGCGGGGACGGTTTGTTCAAGCTTTGAGCAAACAACTGGCTCCTTATCAGCACTTTCCACTGCACCAGAGCTGATTATCTGGAAAGAGAAGGTTTGGGAAGAGTGTTGTCTTTTGAGAGAAAGGGGGTGGTGCGGGAACAGCTTCGTCCCTGGCTTTTCCCGCAGAAATCTGGCGCTAGTTTTACCGGGAGAAGAGACTGGGCCTCCAGCCAAGTGGTCGCGGTCGGCATTTCCTTGAATTCCTTGGAGCTGAGGGACCTTTAGTTAATAAAACCACACAGCTGGGAAGCCAAAGGTGCAAGCTGTGTCATCAGGAAAATAAATAAAAAAACCCCCAAAACCCTCTGGGAAAGCAGAATTTTAGCTGGGGAGATGAAAGGAAGGTTTTGGAGGCAGAGGAGAAAAATGGGTTTATTGTTCCTTTTTGCAGGAATAAATAATACAGGTCTAGGGGGCACCAGCACAGAGGCAAGGGCAGCATGTGGGGCTGGATGATGCTGGGAATATCAGAGCTGCTGGAAAAATAAAAATGCTTTTTATTTTTTCTTTCTTTGTCTTTTGTCCCCAAAGAGTTGGAGCAGTCACTGTGGGTGGGAAAGGAGAGGGGAGGGCAGGAGGCCAGGAAGGGATGAGGCCAATGGGATGCCCTTGGGGCACGGTGGCGACTACTGGGACAATCCTTGGCGCCTTTTTGGAGCCTAGCCTTGCCCCATAATGGGGCTGAATCCTTCTGGGTCCAGCAGTTGCTCATCCCTGGAGCCCCATGTGATTCTCCCTGGGTACCTCCCACAGAAAACACCACGGCCAATGTGTCCAGCGAGGCAGAACGCAAGGCACAGCGCTATTACCAAGCCTGCATGAATGAGAGCAAGATCGAGGAGCTGCGTGCCACCCCACTCATGGAACTCATCCAAAAGGTTTGTCCCAGTCCTTGAGGAAAACCATCTTCCCTCTTCAAAACGGGGGGAAAAGCTCAGTCATGGGCAGTCCCAGCACTGTCCATACTCCATTGTTGGTTCTTCCTGCAGAAGAGCAACCTCCAGGTCAGGCAGGCAGAGATTTATAATCCTATAATGGGGCTTTTTAGCCCCTTCAACCCTTGCAAGTTTTGCCCCAGGATGGATACTGAGGGAGTATCGAAGCAATTTCAGGTGGCTGTTTGTTACTCAAAAGTTGGTTGCTGTCTGTCCCCAGCTGGGTGGCTGGAACATCACAGGTACCTGTGCCGGTGACAACTTCAACGAGACGCTGCGGGAGGTGACGGCGCATTATCGCACCTCGCCCTTCTTTTCCGTCTACGTCAGCGCCGACTCCAAGAACTCCAACAGCAACGTCATCCAGGTGGATCAGTCGGGGCTGGGCCTGCCATCGCGGGATTACTACCTGAACAAGACTGAGAATGAGAAGGTGAGGGTGTCGGGGGAAATGTGGGTTGGCTGGGGGGATGCCGTGTGTGGGTGGCACCTGCCATGCTGATCCCACCGTGCTGATCCCATCGTGCAGGTGCTCGCTGGGTACCTGAACTACATGGTGCAGCTGGGGATGTTCCTGGGAGGCACCGACGAGGAGTCCACGCGGCAGCAGATGCAGCAGATCCTGGACTTTGAGACGGCCTTGGCCAACATCACCATCCCGCAGGAGAAGCATCGGGATGAGGAGGTCATCTACCATAAAATGACAGCAGGAGACCTAAAGGTAGGAATGGAGCTGGCGAGTTTCCCCATTCTGCTGTGGTTCAGGAAGAGGGGTGGATGGGTGAAGATGACACAGCTCCTTTGGGAATCCTGATGCCAGCTGACACAGCCTGGGAAGCTCTTGTGCAACAGCTTGGCCTACGTCCTCCTTGGGGAAATCCTACCCTGACCCTTCCTCCTGGCCTCTGGACCACCCCTGGGGCTAGCAACCATCCTAGTGCAGCAGTCCTTCTGGGACTGCTGCCCCTGGACGTCAGCCTGGTCCCAGTGTCCCCAGAGGGGCTGTAACTTGTGTCAACATCTGACACCCACACCACTTTATTTTCCTTCTTTGTGGGAGGAAATAGTTTACTCCCCTTCAACCTTTCAAGGACGCTGCTGTTACAGGAACTGGCCTCTGCAAAATCAGCTGAATGCACCAAATGGGGATTGATACAGCCAATTCCAGCTTAAGAAGCAGCTGCCACCCCCTGCGATGGTTTTTAGGTTCATAGCAGCACTGTGGCTTTTGCAGGAGCTGGCACCGGCTGTGGACTGGATGCCCTTCCTCTCCACAGTCTTCTACCCCGTGGAGCTCAACGAGTCAGAGCCCGTTGTGGTCTATGCCAAGGAGTACCTGGAGCAGGTCTCTGACCTCATCCTGGCCACGGATAAGTGGTGAGAATCCCCAGCCTGTACCGAGACCCAGGTACCCAGGGTGGGCAGGAATGTGCTGCTGCCTACTCACCACCTCTCACCACAGTCTCCTCAATAACTACATGATCTGGAACCTGGTGCGGAAAACCAGCCCACTCCTTGACCAGCGCTTCCGGGATGCTGAGGAAAAATTCATGGAAGTGATGTATGGGACAAAAAAGGTGAGGGTGAAGTCCCTTAGTGCCCCATAATCACATTAAAATGTTGATGGCTCTTTATGTCAAGGCCCTATTTGTGGCATCCAAACAATAGAAATGTGGGGCAGCTTTTGGGGTGGCAGAGGCTTGGATGGGCCAGGTGGAGCAAGGGGTGGGAATGTGGAGGGCTTTGTTCCATGCCACCACTGATGACCACCTCCTGTCCCATGCAGAGCTGCCTCCCACGCTGGAAGTTTTGCATCAGTGACACGGACAACAACCTGGGCTTCGCCCTGGGGGCCATGTTTGTCAAGGCCACCTTTGCTGAGGACAGCAAGCAGGTGGTACGTCCCCAAGACAGCAGTGTGCGAGTCCCTGGTGCTGGGAAAGCCTCTACAATGGTGGAACTGTTGGGGCAGATGGTGTTTCTCTGTCCACCCTATTGCATTCACTGTGCTGGGTTTTTCACCATGTGTTGTCTTGGCCTCCCAGCCTCTTCCTCCCTGTGGTGTGAAGGTCCTTGACCTCTCTGGGACAGGAAGCCAGCTCTTTGGACTGACACTGTGCTGCCTTGTTTTGTCTAGGCGGAGGAAATGATTGCGGAGATTAAAACTGCCTTCGAGGAAAGCCTGGAGACCCTGCAGTGGATGGATGAAGAGACGAGGAAATCAGCCAAAGAGAAGGTGAGGTGCTGGTGGCTGCGCTGGGGAGAAGGTGAGGGTGGATAATGGTGGAACAGGGTGAGCCTGTCTTCCCTACCTGGCACTGAGAGCACTCTGGTCTTTGTCACCCTCCAGGCAGATGCCATCTACAACATGATTGGCTATCCGAAATTCATCATGGACCCCAAGGAGCTGGATAAAGTATTTAATGATGTGAGTTGGTCAGATATGTCCCCTGGGTCTTCTATAGGATGCACAGGATGTGTCTGTATCATCGTGGCCTCAGGGCAGCCTTGAACCCCAGGTTCCTCCAGAAGGGTCTCACTTTATGTCCTTGGCCCCTTCTCTCAGGACTTCTCAGAGAGCTGTGGACCAGTCCTGGGGTGGCTGGGGCTCTTGGGATCCCTGCCCGGGAAAAGGAGGAGCTATTTTCCGTAATGGTGATTCATTGCCCTCCAGAGACTCCACAGATGTTGGAGAGGAGGAGAAACAGGAGAAGCCGTAACTCTGCTGGCTCTGGAGGCTCAGACACGACTGTGAAGGGAGGAGTGGGGCTGGGCGATCACCACACACCACTCACGCCTTGTTCTTTTGCAGTACGAGGCCGTGTCCGACCTCTATTTTGAGAACGTCATGCAGTTTTACAACTTCTCAGCCAGGGTCACGGCTGACCAACTCCGGAAACCGCCAAACCGGGACCAGTAAGTCCTCTGCTCCACTTCCCTGTTGTTCTCAGTGGGGAATATCAGCATATCTGGAGCACTGGGATTTGGTGCCCACCAGCTTGTGCCAGTTTTGGGGAGATAAATTTAGGAGAACGGCTTTGCAACAAAAAGTGGATGTTGCTGGAGAAAATGCTGGTGATGGTTTGTGTTGCCATGTTTGTGTTCCTGCAGGTGGAGCATGACACCTCCAACGGTCAACGCGTATTATTCTCCTACCAAAAATGAGATTGTCTTCCCTGCTGGCATCCTCCAGGCCCCCTTTTACACCCGTGCATCCCCCAAGTAAGAGCCATGGGAAAACAGAGAGGGCAGGATGCCCAGCTTTCCTCCTATATCCACATCTTTGGCTAAGTTTCACAGCTGTGAAGAGCAGAAGCTGCTTTCTTAACCTCTGCATTGCCCTCCTGCAGGTCCCTGAATTTTGGTGGGATTGGTGTGGTGGTGGGCCATGAGTTGACACATGCCTTCGATGACCAAGGTACGACCATGGCCAGGTGGGTGGGCAGCTGGAGGGGTGGCAGGTATGAGATGAAGAATCCACTGTGTTTTTGTAGGCCGGGAATATGACAAAGATGGCAACCTGCGTCCCTGGTGGAAGAATTCCTCAGTGGAGGCCTTCAAGCATCAGACAGCGTGCATGGTGGAGCAGTATGGCAACTACACTGTCAACGGTGAGGCAGTCAATGGCAAGCACACCCTCGGGGAGAACATCGCTGACAACGGGGGTCTCAAGGCTGCCTACCGGGTAGGACCACGGGGCAGGGGAGATTCGAAGGGGGACATGGTGTGGTGGGATCTGTGTTGTCTCCTGAGCCCACTGTGCTTCCTGGTTTTCAGGCATATCAAAACTGGCTGAAAAAGAATGGGGATGAAGAAACACTCCCAACTCTCGGCCTCACCAACTACCAGCTCTTCTTCGTTGGCTTTGCACAGGTAGGTCATGTGGTGAACTTGGGAGGGTGGGCACACAGATTTTTGGAGGTGGAGCATGCCCAGATGGGACTGGGAGGGTGTGATGGCAAAACAGAGTCCTCCAGAGATGTTGTAGTGGATGGAGAATGAGATTGGGGTGGTGCGGGTTACAAAGGAAGACAAAGCTGCAGCTCGAGCTGCCTTGGCCCCCATCACACAGGCAGAAGGGTTGGATTCAGCACTGGACTGGCCCCATGGTGATGAGTGTCAGTGCTCAGGCTCCTTGTGCTCCGTTTGCAGGTGTGGTGCTCAATTCGCACACCAGAGAGCTCGCACGAGGGGCTCATCACCGACCCCCACAGCCCCTCACGTTTCCGTGTCATCGGCACCGTCTCCAACTCCCCGGAGTTTGCGGAGCACTTCAGCTGCCCCCCGGGCTCCCCCATGAACCCCCTCAAGAAGTGTGAAGTCTGGTGATGGGCAAGTGCCCAAGGGAACCAGCTTTGTCCTCTGCCAACAGCTGGGCTTCCCAGTCCTTTGAGGCTCAAACCACTTCTCCATGCCACGGAGAGCCCGACTCTTCAGCCGGAGCAGTGTCTGTGCCCCTGGCATTGTCCGAGGTTCAATCCACTGTGAAAACTCCTCATCCCCCTGCTTCTTGGTGAAATGACTTCAGTTTGGGGGTCTCTTCTTTCCCACCATGACCGGGCCGAGTGCCGAGGCACAGGCATCCGTGGGCACTGCCTGTATTTACGCATACAGCGCTCCAGCCTGGAAACCCCCTCTGTTTTGGAGGTGATAAAGGGAACCCCCAGCAGCAGCAGGTTTGTTTGCGTGTCTAAATACAAATGATGTACCACCTTCTCTCCAAAGATGCGCACATGAGGGTGGAAAATATTTTAAGATATATTTTTTTGGGGGGGGAAATACATATATTTTTTTCATGTGTTGTAGAATACACTGGAAATTTTCAGGGAAAATGCATTTTAAAGCCTTTTTTTAGTAAAATATTAGTATATTTATTATTTTTTTTTTTACTTAGTGCAGCCGTAGGTGCAGTACCCCGTGGTGACAGTCCCTTGGCCAGGGAAGCTGGGTAGGGCTGTGGATAACTTTCCAGTCTTGGATCCTATGTTTCTCTGGAGGGACTATCCTCAGAGGATGCTGATGGGAAAATTAGGGACAGCAGGCCTGGGGACAGGGCTGGAGGATGCTGCAAGTCACAGAGGCTGTGCTGGGATGCTGCAGCTCCTGGGATTAACTTTAATTTCAGAGTGTAAAGGGAAAAATTGACGTAACCAAAGATGTAACCAAGGTGGTGATGGGGTGGATGAAGCATCCTGTTCTCTCTCCTGTCTCCTCTGAAGCCAGGCCAGCCAGGATTTCCTGGCCCTAAAGTTTCCCAGACAAGTGCAGGCGGTTCCTGCCGCTGCTTCTCTCATGCCGAGCCTGCCCTCTGCCCGGGAAACTGCAAGCCCTGAAAGCACCATGTGCCCCCAAAACTCTGCCCCTCCACAGCTGGTTTGGCACCAGTGTGAGAAGTGATCAGGATGGGGCTGAGGGACTTTTTAAAGGGATGTTTTTAGTACTTGTTTTGAGGGGAAAGCACTGACAGGAGCTCAGGTGCTGTGTGTTGTTGTCTTGCTCTAGACAAAGTAGAGACATAGAGGGAATTTTTAATATTTATATGTAAAGGGAGGGATGGAAGGGGCTGGTTTTTTGTAACTATTTTTTCACCCTAAGCATGAGGCTTATTGTAATTGAAATAATAAATACTTTTTACTGGATTTGGAGTGGATCATGATTTGAATTTTCTTAGAGCAGGAGGGTCTGCATCCATTTATTTGTGCTCTTCTCCTTGTCTACACCACTGAGACTGTCCCGTGCTGACAAAACTGAGCCAACGAAGCTTTTCCCAGCCTGTGCCTGGTGACTTCTGCCTCTCTTGGAGGCTAAATCCTGGGGTTTTTGCCCAAAAACCTCACTCTCACTGCGGGTGGCTTTTTGCTTTCCATCTCTATGGCATGGCCCCACACATCTCCCTGGCAGGGAGGTCTTTCCCAGATGCTTTTCCTTCTTCCTTCTGGATGAGTTTTGGCTGGCTGGGCTGCGGTTGGATCCAGCAGCACAGGCCCTGTGCAGGTTTCCCTCCAAACTCCCTTATTTATGGCTTGGTGGTGCTGGTAGGATGCTGCCAGCTCCGTAACAGGCTAACATTTGCTCTGAGCAGATGCTCCATGGCTTCATCAGGCTTGCCCAAAAAGTGCAAGGCAGGACCTGGACTGCTAGCTCCCTGCAAGCCTCCCCCCAGCAGCTGGCAGGGCTGATGTTCATTAACCACACCAAGTGCTGGGTATTCCTTTGCTATTTAACCTTGGAATTGTTATTGGGGGCTGGATTTGTGACAAAACTAGGAGGCTGCAGCCCACTGGTAGCAAACTTTTGGGAATACAGAGTGTTTCTGTTGCTGGCATGGGCAGGACTGAGCCAGCAGTGAGCTGGGGCCATGGGTGCTGCATAAATAAGACATGAAAATACCTCTCTGACTCTTTTTACCGTGTTTTCTCACCCAGATGGAATGGAAATGTAGTAATAGCACTCAGTGTGAGCACGACTCGGTGTGAGGCCCTCAGTTTCCTGCAGCGCTGAGAGCGGCCGTGGCCGTTGTTTTCCCTGAGATCTGCCTGGAAATGGCGCAAACCCGCAGAGGGCGGTGGAGCCGAGAAAATCGCTGCCTGCACACTCCAGTGCTTGGCTGGCAGGAACCAGTGATGTTACCAGAGTCCTATTTTGGTCTGGATGTGGCCCCAGATGTTTAAATTGTGGTGGAATACCTGCATTCCTAAGGAAAGAGAAGAACAGCGTGGGTGTAAGGCAAAGAGGAATAGAGTGGGGCTGGGGTGAGAGGGTGTTTTCCCAGCTGCAAAGGAGCAAGGAAGGGAGCACAGGCACCACATGCAGATGCTGTTAGAAGTGGTTTAACCATCCAAACAGAAAACACTTTGGCTCTCTGGGACTTAGTTGCCAGGAGGGACCAGGCAGATGATGGCTCAGGGACAGCCCCAGGGCAGGAAGGACTTTGAGGGTGACCATGAGCTGTGTCCCAGTAGGGGACACCGTGGTCAAGGCTGTCCATGCCGGGTGCAGGTGGAGGGGGTTTTCCTCCCTGGGAGGCTGCAGGCACAGGGAGAATGGGCAGGAGGTGAATCATCCTGCTCTGTGCCAGCGCCTGGTGTGGGCTTGCCTGGTCCTGGGTGGTATTCGCTTTATTTTGCACTCAGCTGTGCCCTGGAGGGCTGAGACATTGTTTGCCGAGGGCTGAGCCTGGGCAGGGAGAAGAATGGGGAAAGCTCCAAGCAGGACCTTTTTGGTTTTCTTTTCTTTTTTTTTATTTTGGGTGGTTTTTTTGTCTGGAGGGCATTGGAAGAGGAACAGTGCAGGAAAAGCAGAAGCCAAAAGAGGGAGGTGCTGCTGTGCAATGCTGGGTGAAAGCAGGCACCTGGAGCATGCTGGAGCCTACAAACAGAGCTGGAAATGGGGGCTGTTCATAGGTTTGGTGGGGCCAAGACAGCTGATGAGAGGTGAGGGGCTGAACCCAACCACCTGAACTGCCCCTGCTTTGTTCCCTTCAGGTAGGACCTGACCCCTGACACAACAGAATACTACTGAGGTCACCTAGTGAGATGACCAGATTTTAGGGCCAAAAGCTTCCCTGAACAAACCATACTTTCCTGAAGGCAGGAGGATGAGGAGTAGGAGGTGGGGAGCAGGTTTCTAAATCCCACCTTGCAGCTGGGACCTGCTCATTCTGATCACTGAGTTTTCACTCAGAGTCAAGCTGAGTCAACAGGAAGTCTGTGTCTCCTCACTCACTCCCAGGACGCTTTTCTCACTTTATGCTCTTCCCTTCATGAGCATCCCTTCAGGGGATACCCCAATCCTGTATTTTCTTAAGTTCACCAACAGCTCCAGCATTCCTGTGCTGTGGGGTTGTGTTTCTGCTGTGGCAGGTACATGAGAGACGGGTGGGACTGGAAAAAGGGCTGGTGATGCTCTGAAACAGGAGCTCAACACTGTAGGCTCCAGCTTCCCACGGTTCCCAGGTGATAACAGAGATAGCAGGAAAAAGAGGAAGAAAAACAAAATGGAGAGGTGGCAAGAAGGGTGTGAATCCAGCTGGAACTCACTCAGGCTCTAAAATCTGCAGGATTTGTTGGCCAAATCGTCCTACATAGGGTAGAAGGGAGACATATCTGCCTTTTCTTCCCAGGAAAAAATAAAAAGAAGGGAAAAACATGGCTGGGGAGAGACTTTGGCTCTGGTAGGGCTTTAAGGCAGAGCTGGGAGCCTGGCTCTTTCATCTCGCCAGCACATTTTGGGAGCTTCAGCAGACAATATGGTGAAAATGCCATTTTTTTTCCTTTCTAAACAGACAGAAAATGTTATATCAAAAGATCCTGGAGTTTGGAAGCTCTTTCACAGCTGTGTTTACAGGCAGCTATTTCTGTAGAACAGAGGCAGCCATTGATGTCAATTTGCTTTTGAGATTAATTTCCATCCATGCAAAGGGGGGTAGCTGGAGAGGGGCCGTGCCAGGAGGTGGTCATGGAATGGTACCAGCCCCCCAAGAACACACAGCTCTACTTGCACCCTCCAAATAATAACAGCCAAGTCTTTACTAACTGTGGAGAGAGAATTGTCTTCCCAGCAGGAGAGGTGTGCTGTGAACACAGCAGCCTCCAGGATGCTGGGAGATCTATCAGTACCTGGGCAAATCCCATACCATGAGAGAAGTTCCTCCTTTGGCTCCCATTTTTGGGGAGTGGAGGAGTACTTGGCCTTTCTTTTTGGTCATTCTTATTTCTCTCTTCAGTTTTCCTGGTGGGGAATTAGTTAATATGGCAGGCTGAAGGCTTCTGAGGAAAACTGACTCAGAAAAAACAGTCACAGCTCCCTCTAGATATTTGTTCCTGGATTCAGATATAAATATTCCCCAGTCAGGACTTCTTTACAGGCTGGCAGGGCTTGGTTGGGCTGTTTCCCCTCAAAAAGAAATCTCAGTGTTTCCTATTTCCCCCTATTTCCCACAGGCAGTGTGAGGTATGTATGAGCTCACCTCCTCCCAAGTATTTCCCTTACCCCAAAGCAGAACAAAGAGCACAGAAAGGGACACTAAACAGCACATGATCACCTTCCCCTGCCCCACTAATGCCTGCTGGCACTGCAGGAGGTGGCTGTACCCTCCAGGGTAGCGTGTGAGTAAGAAATAAAGTATTCCAGTTGCTTGGCTGCTTTTAATGGAGACCTGCATGGCAGCTCCCAGTTTCTGAGAACACACCTTAGAAGAGGGAGAGCTTCTGGCCACACTGTAATCCTTGGCTGTCCTAAACCTGCCCTGCACAACCCCGTTGTTCGATGACTCAGAGACTGACTCCAAAGGGAAAACGTACTCAATACACTTCTACTACCTTTTGCCCACTGTGCTGAGTTCTGCTCCAGTGAACAGCACCCAGTCCAGATTCTCCACCGTCAGATTTATTTTTAAAAGTCAAAATGACTTCTCTGCACATAAACAGGACCATTGCACAAACAGGGACGGATGTGACTTCTCAGGTAGGTTTTCTTTAGTGCACAAGACCTCTCAGCTTGTGGTTATAACAGCTATTCTCCAGGTACTGAATACACCATCATGAGAGCTGTTCACTTCAGTAAAAGAAGCTTTTTACATCTAAGTGTTTATTTATGATTGAATTAAAGCATTATCTTCCTCCTAAACTTGCAGCTGCTCAGAATTTGCAGCAGACAGGACACAAATAAGCTCTGGGAAGGTTTCCTAGAGCAGCACCCCAGGCGGGTGACTGGGGCAGCAATACCTGTGGGCACAGCAAAGGTGCTGGGAGCGTCTCCCTGGGACGTGCGGCACAGCAGGAATGTTGGAAGGTGCCAGCGGGTTGGAATGAGCCCCCGGCAGCCAGCGGCAAGGCAGGACAAGTCAGGACAATCTGGCAGCTGCCGGAATCTGTTCTGAGGTGCTTTTTATCTCCCTGAGATGGTACAAACCACCTTGGCCGCTGCCAAGCTCAGGTGGTGGCCGTGAGGAGGGTTCTGCAGGTTAGATGTGAAATGGTGAACGTGGTGGTGGTGGCGTGGCAGCCCTGGGGGGTGATGGCTTGGTGTGACCTGGGGTTAGGTGGAAATGTCTCCCCACATGGGCAAGTCTGGAGGTGCCCCATTGCCATGGGTGGGCTGCCTTGGGGGTCCCCAGGGTCCCTCACAGCCACCCTGTCACCCTCAGGACCATCTGCCCTCATGAGGGGCTGCAGTGTGGCCCCTGTCAGCTGCCCCAGGAGCTGGGAATTGGGGCTGGGAGCTGTAGGGCTGGTAATGGAGCTAGGGGAGAGGTTTTTTGGTAAGCCCCTTCCTCGGGCCCGCGGCAGGGTGAATACAGCCAAGGAGGTCCCAGGCTTCCATGTTGCATTCAGGGCTGCCGGCCCTCACGATGCCTCAGGGGGGCTGCGGTGCTGCACCTTCCTCCAGAAGCCAGTAATTGGGGCTGACGGTGAGTTTTCGGGCAGGGGAAGCCCTCAGTTGGGTGGTTACTGAGGGACCCCAAGGATTCCTGACACCCTCAGGCCAACCCCTCAACCTCAAGAGTTGCCGAAGTCTCTCCGAGCGTAGCCGAGTGTGCCCGAAGCTGCGGCCGCGACGAACCCGAGGGACTCCGAGTATCTCCGAGAAGCTCCGAAGAGCTCCGGGCGGGGCGGGATTCCCTCTTCCGAGCCGCTCC